TCGTTCTCGCGTCTGTGGGCCTCCTCAGAGGCCCTCATCGCCACCGCCGGATTCGCATCGAGATTCTAGTGAGAACGCACCCGGGTGAGGTCCGGGGAGAAGCCATCGGTCGAAGAGGTAGGTAGAATGAGGTAGGACGGCGTTGAGGGTGGATTGGATTCCGTCCGCCCCCTGAGGAGGACGGAAAAATGAAGGGCCCTGGGACACACAAATAACAGGATTCCCCATATTTTCCCATGTTTTCTGGGTTTTTGTCTTCCCCCCTACTTCCCATATTTTCCCATATTTTCTGGGGAATCGACGATTCATTGTGTCTGTGTGTTTTTTCCCTTCTGGAAAAAGTGAAGGCACTCGATCATTGAGGCAGGAAGGCGCCCACAGTGGATTGGAATCTGGGAATCCCCCAAAAAACACCTACTTGCAACGACCGATGGGTAGGGACACCAGTAGGAGGGAGGAGGGAGGAGGGAGGAGGGAGGAGGAGGGAGGAGGAGGAGGGAGGAGGAGGGAGGAGGAGGGAGGAGGAGGGAGGAGGAGGGTGGAGGAGGGTGGAGGAGGAGGAGGAGGAGGAGGAGGAGGAGGAGGACCTTTTGGCTTCACCACACTCGCCTCGCCGGCGATCCTCGGAGCGCGTGTCATCGCCAACGCGTGCTCGCCCGCCGAGGCCCCCCCTCAGTGCGACGCGGGCGGTGGTGCAGTGAGGCCCAGGTGCAGGCTGCGTGGCGTCGGGTGTGGTAGCTCAGCGGGGTGGTGAAGCACACATCGGAGGAAGAAGAATAAGTAAGAATAATAATAAGAATAATACTAATAATACTAATAGTAATAGGAATAGTAAGAGTAATGATAATAATAACAATAATACGAATAATAATACGAATGCTACTACTACTACTACTACTAATAATAATAATAATACGAATAAGAATAGTAATAATACTAGTACGAATACTAATAATAACAATAATAATAATAAGAATAATAACAAGAAGGCAAATAGTAATAATACCACACATAAACATAAGCTTCTGGCGTTCCGCGCGGACTTCTTGGATCTGCGCTGGACAGGGGCGGAGCCGGAGGTGCTGCCAGGGGGGCCCAGCGCGGATCCAAGAAATCCGCGCGGGGCGCCAAAAGTTTAGGTTCATGTGGTATTGTCTTCCTCGAATTGGGCTGCGCATCGCACGTCCTCAGGATTATCAGTCTTCTCGCCATCGCTCGGACGTCCACTCCTCGTGCACGTTTCGGCTGTGTGCGCTGCCCTCCTCGAGGCATGGCACGGGGTGCTCCTCGATGGTCCCCGCCGAGGCAAGACGCAAGCGTCCGAGCGATGCCAAGTCCTGGTGGCGCGCAGAGCGGTGCAAGGCTGAGGGGCCGTGAGCGGCAGCGGGTTCAGGCTCGGGGAGGTCTGGTCTGCACGATGGGGAGCTGCTCCCGCCCCGCCCATCGCTGCGTTCCTGCGGTGTCCAAGCGGGGCCACAGGCGCGAAACCGACCAAGCGGGCAACGCTCGCGGCGGCACCGACAGCGACTCCTGTCCAGCATGGACAGGTTCTGCTGCCTATGTTCGTGTCCACTCTCAAGCTCGCCGGCATTTCAATCCTCCCCAGGGCTCCTCCTAGGGTTAGGCTGGGCCTGTCCCCCTACAGGGGGATTTTCCACAAACAAAAAAAAACATGCCCCAAAAATACTCCGAAAAGGTAACACATACTTAAAAAAGTAGTCCCCAGACAATTTTTGGACTATCTTTAATTTATTTTTGGCGTATTCTTTAGTTTTCGTCGAGAATCCCCCTGTATGGGGGACGCGCCCGACTTAATCCTGGGGGGCAGCCCCCCTCGGAGCAGCCCCCCTCCCCCGACCCCGCCCCCCTCTTGCGCGCCGCCATGTGGTTTTTTCGGTCAGGCCCAGCTCAGGGGCTTGGGAGAACCGTGCAAGCTTCCGATCTCTAAGGCCAGGCGCGAGTACCTAGAACCTAGACAGGATATCTCGCGGCCTGTATCCGAAGGGCTGAGCCTCTTAGCCTGGTTAATCACTACGTGATGGCGGAAATCCTGGAAATCCCCTCTTGCGCGCCGTCAGTGACCGCACCGCACACTGATCGCATCGCCTGCGCAGCCGGGCACGGCCGGACTCGAGGCCACCGGGGTGCGCGCGGCCGGGCCGGCCGAGGCCGCGCGCGCAGGCGGCGGTGTCACCACCAGACTCGCCCTCGGGACCTCGCCCGAGAGGTGCGCTCCGACCTGCACTTCGGAGGGGATCCATAGGGGGCCACGCGCGAAGCCTGCCCCTACCCCCCCCCCGACTTCTGAAGGGGAGGGTGGGGTTCGCTTCGCTCGGGAGCTCCCGAACGGAGTGAACTCCACCCTCCCCCTCAGAAGTCGTGGGGGGCAGGGGCAGGGTTCGCGCGTGGCCCCCCAATCCCCCTTCGCTCCAGGAGGCAGCGCAGGAGGGCGCGGCCCTGCGCTTGTTCGGGCCGACCCGCGCGCGCGCGCGTCCTCCTCCTCCTCCTCCTCCTCCTCCTCCTCCTCCTCCTCCTCCTCCTCCTCCTCCTCCTCCTCCTCCTCCAGCCGCGACGACGACCGCCCTGGAAGCTCGACCGACCCACGACGGCACTGGAGCCTCGGCCTGGGCACCTCTGCACCTCGGCCGCTCGACCAGCGACGGCGCGAGACCCAGCGCGCCGGAGCCCCCCGTCCACCTCCGGCCAGGAGTGGCAGGCATGGGCCGAAGCAGTGGTTTCGTTCTCCCTCGTTCTGTCTCCACTCCGCTTGTGCTGCCAAAGAAGTTTGAAGCAACACCAGCCCACGAAATCGCCAGAACACCGCTCAGGTCCACCCCTGGGGCCGAAGCAGTGTCTTTCGTGACGAACCAACAACACACACCCATACCCATAGGGGGATCGGAGAGGGCTATGGGTGCGTGTTGTCGGATGGGGGTCCCCGCTCGAACGGGAGCGTTCCCCAGGGTCCGACAACCCGCACCCATACCCATAGCCAGTCCTCCTCCCAACGGCCTCCCTATGGGTATGGGTGCGTGTTGTCCGTTCGTCATTTCGCTTTGGCTTTGATTTTGTTCTCCCTCGTTCTGTCTCCACTCCGTCTGTGCTGCCAAAGAAGTTTGAAGCAACACCGGCCCACGAACTCGCCAGAACGCCGCTTGGGTCCACCCCTGGGGAGGAACATGAGGAGCGTGGCAACTAGACGATGGTTGGGAAGAGAAAGGGGAGTGGTACGAGGGCGAGGCGGAGTAGTGGTACGACCAGCATTCATCCTCAGGAGCTCTGGGCAGTCGAGGGGCCTTCCTAGCGGCAGCAGTTGTCGTCCTCCTCGTCGCCGTAGTGGGAACCCCCGCCATCGTCGTCGCTAGAAGAAGAAGAAGAAGAAGAAGAAGAAGAAGAAGAAGAAGAAAAACAAAAAGCCACAAGTATCAACTTTTGACGCTCCGCGCGGATTCCTTGGACCTGCGCTGGACCCCCCTCCCTGGCGCGCGGAGCGCGCCAAGGAGGTTCCAGCGCCGATCCGAGAAACCCGCGCGGACCTCCGAGCTGTTATGCTTATGGTATTGTTTGTTCAGTCCCCTAGTAGTGTTAGGTCGGGGGTGTCCTCCTACAGGCGGACTTGTCCTCCTACAGACGGATGGTGGACGAAAAAATCGCCAAACATAGTAAAACATACGGAAAACATCGTCCCCAGACTGTTTTTTTTTGAACTTCTTTTAAACTGCTTTTGAATTTTCCTCCTGTAGAGGGACACGCCCGACTTCCCCCTAGAAGTGTGTATGCCACGACAATGGACACCCTGACAGTCCTATCATCGAATTCAACATGTGTTTGACATGTCGTAAACCTGTCCTGAACAGGCTTTTTACATGTTAAAACAGTTTTAATACATTTGTTCTAGACATCTGGAAATTATTTAATCGCTTCGCTCATTCCGCCGGCCCTGGAGCCCTCTTTACGGCCTCTTTGGGGCCTCTTGGGGACCTCTTCGGAGTCTCTTGGGGCTCCTTGGCGGCGTCTTGGGGGCCCACAGGGCCTTTTGGGGGGCTCTTGGGGGCCTCTTGGGGCGGGAGGGGTGTAGTCGATTGCGGCTCCCCCCTCGGAGGCCACGATCCCCGTGAGGGGTGTCGAAACATGGCCCTCCCCTGGAGTGCTCTGGGGGCTTCTCCTGGGACCTTGCCGGGGTGCTTTTCGTCCGGGGGCCCCCAGGGGCCGCTCCGCGCGCGCGAACTAGAAATATCGTTGACCAGTTGCCGGAGATCTCTTAGCACGCCTCTGGCCCGTTGGGCCACCCCCCTAACAGTCCCATCATCGAATGAAACATGTGTTTAGCATGTCGCAAACATGTCCTGAACATGTTTGAAGATTTCTTTAAAGAAAAAAAGCATGTTTAAACCAGTTGCAACACAGTTTCTCTGGACATCTGGAAATTAGTTGGCAGCATGCTCCCTGGGGCAGGAGGTCTGTCAACCTCCGACTTGTGAGGCCTCGTGCCCCTGGCCATCGCTCGGACGTCCATTCCCTGTGCTTTTTTTTTCGGCTTCGTGCGTGTTTTTTTTTGTTTTACCAAACGATCAAGGATGCTCCTCGATGGCCCTCGCCGAGGAAAAAACGCACACGTCCGAGCGATGCCGAGTTCCTCTCCATGGATCGTCCTCCACACACCCATACGACAATGGACACCCTAACAGTCCTATCAACGAATGAAACATGTGTTCAACATGTCACAAACATGTCCTGAACATATTTGAAGCATATATATAGATATATATTAACATGTTTAAAACAGTTGAAGCACATTTTCTATAGTAGACCTCTAGAAATGATTTGGCAGCAGGCTCCCTCTCCACTGCTCGTCCTCCACACCCCCGGCAGCGGGGACCCCCCCCCGCCCATCCGCCGCCGCCGGCGGCCCCCGCCTCCGCGGGGCCCGCGAGCAGCGCGGCGGCCCGCTGCTCGAAGAGGCGCCGCAGGCGCAGCACCTCGCGCCGGCGCGCCAGCTCCTGGGGGGCGAGGGCGAAAGGGGGGGATGGCAAAGGGGGGGTTTGAGAATCAGCTCACGTAGCTGGTTTTCCCGGCGCCTCCCAGCGCCAGAGGCGCCCATGTCTCGAGCTCCACGTCTGCCCTCCGAGCTCCACGTCTGGCCGGGGCGGCAGGGGGGTTTGAGAATCAGCTCACGTAGCTGGTTTTCCCAGCGCCTCCCGGCGCCAGGGGCGCCCCTGTACCGAGGAAGGGGCCCCTCGGTGGGGCCGAAGCCAGCTGCATGCAGCAGATTTCGTAACCCCCCCTTTCCCAATCCCCCCCTTCCGTCCGGCCCGATCCTGGGGGGCGAGGGCAGCGACTGCCTGCCAGACCACACCAGCCCAACCCGAAGGCCCAAGTTTCGGGTTGGGGGGGTATTGGCCATCGCTCGGACGTCCATGCCCTGTGTTTTTGTTTCGGTCTCGTGCGCGTTTTTTTTCGCCAGAGGAGCAAGGATGCTCCTCAAGGGTCCTCGCCGAGGAAGAAATACACACGTCCGAGCGATGCCAAGGGTATGGGCTCCACGTGTGCTTTCTCTATGTTCCCGGGCCCCCGCGGGGATCGTTCAGCCTCGAGCGATCGGCCGTTTCCGGAACGTCTAGATCGTTCCACATCGAACGAGTCTGGGTCGCCCGCGGCGTTCAAAGTGGAGGGGCGCAGAGAGGGGGGGACTGGCATCGAGGGGGATGCATCGACCTGGAGTCGGCGATGCATCGCCGATGGATCGGCGATGGGCCCCCGACGGTGAATCCGCACCCTCCTGGGCAGCCTGGGGCTGTCGGGCTCCTGTCGGCGATCCGATGGGCGATTGGGGGTCGATGCATCCCCCCTAATTCCCTGTATCCTTGCCCCTGCACTCGGGAGCCCCCCGGCCTGCCGAGACGTCGCAGCCTCCCCCCGGAGACGGCGGCAGAAACCTCTCGGGAGGCGCCAGGGCTGCCGAGGAGCCCCGCCGCCTCCGGCGAGGGCCTCCTCCTCCTCCTTCGCCTTCCCCCCCTCTCTCGGGGGCGAGCAGGCATGGATCGGTGATCCATGGATCTGGCGCGCGGCCGCCAAATCCGTGGATCGGGGGAGGTGCCCCCCCCTATGCCCATCCCCCCCCTATCGTTGCCCCCGTGTGCCTATCCTTGAGCAAGGGCCGACCGTCTCGGCATTGCTATAGTCCTACCACGGAATGTTCTTATAACCCAAACATGGTCGAACAAACAAACACACTGTTCTTATAACATAAGCCCGATGTGGAAGAAAAAGACAGTCCCAGCCAGAAATGCTCTAAGAGCATTTCGTGGAAGCCACAAAAGGTCCTTAGAACATTCTCTGGTAGGCCTATAGGCGAGCCACGACGCTTCGCCACTGCTTGAATTATCCCTCTCTGCCGTTATGTTGTTCCCATCCTACTTAAGGACCACGTCCCAGAAAAAAATTCGAACACCCGGAAAAGTGTCAAAAGAGTATCGAAACAGCGTCAAAACAGTGTCGGGCGAGTGTCTCCCAGGGCCCGCCACGTGAACACCCTTGAGTTTCGGTATTTTTTGGGCGCTCGAAATTCTGTCTGGTACTCAAAGCTAAAATAGGTTGGAGCATCATAACCCTACCCTTCAGTCGGGCCTGTCCCCCTACAGGGGGGATTTTCGACGAAAAATAAAAAAACTACATACACCGAAAAGTTCAAACAATACTCAAGCATAGTCCCCAGACTATTCTTGGACAATCTTTGGGGTATTCTTTTATTTTTCGTCGAAAATCCCCCCTGTAGGGGGACAGGCCCGACTTCATCATAACCCTACCGTTGCCCTCACGGCTGAAGTAGGTTGGAGCATCATCTCGGATGGGGCGAAAGGGGGGGATAGCAACGGGGGGGTTTGAGAATCAGCTCACGTAGCTGATTTCCCCGGCGCCTCCCGGCGCCGGGAGGCGCCCATGTATCGAGGAATGGGCCCCTCGGTGGGGCCGAAACCAGCTGCATGCAGCAGATTTCGTAACCCCTCCTTTCCCTATCCCCCCCTTTCGTCCAGCCCGAGAACTCCACCCCGCCCCCCCAAAAAATGCCGGAAACCTCCGCAGCCCCTCCCGAAGCTCCTCCTCCTCCTCCTCCTCCTCCTCCTCCTCCTCCTCCTCCTCCTCCTCCCCCTTCCGTCCCCCCCCTTCCGTCCCGCCCGAACCATGACCCTACACCGTTGCCCTCCGAGCTCCACGTCTGGCCGGGGCGGCAGCAGGCCGGCGCCCGCCGCGGCGCGCACCAGGGCCAGGAAGCGGCGCTGGCGCCACTGCGCGGCGGGCGAGGCGCGGCCGCCTCGGCGGGGGCGACAGCCCAGGCGGCCCCCCGGAGGAGGAGGAGGGTGGAGGAGGAGGGGAGGAGGAGGGGGGAGAGGAGGAGGAGGAGGAGGAGGAGGAGGGAGGAGGAGGAGGAGGAGGAGGGAGGAGGAGGAGGAGGAGGGGGAGGGGGAGGGAGGAGGAGGAGGAGTGAGGAGGAGGAGGAGGAGGAGGGGGACGGAGGGGAGGAGGAGGAGGAGGAGGAGGAGGAGGAGGAGGAGGGGGGGGGAAGGGGGAGGAGGATGGAGGAGGAAGGAGGAGGAGGAGGAGGAGGAGGAGGAGGAGGAGGAGGAGGAGGAGGAGGAGGAGGAGGAGGAGGAGGAGGAGGAGGAGGAGGAGACCCCCCCCCGCGCGGTGAACAAAATCCCGACGGGAGGCTTTTCGCTGTTGTCGGCCTCTAAGGGTCCTCGCCGGGCCTCTGTACCATCAAACAACGGCTCGGGACGAGAAACCAGTCCTGGGGCAGGGGTTCAGGCCTCCTCAAACATGCGACGTCCTGGTTTTTTCGCACCTGGAAGTCCCGACCCTTGCCCTGGGACCAGCTTTTCATCCCGAGTCGTTTCTTGACGGTCCCGAGGCCCGGCGAGGGCCCCCCGAGGCCGAGACTGGCCAACAACCTCCAGTCCGGATTTTCTCACGACGCGATCATGTCTGGGTCTGGGGGTCGACGCTGCGAGGAAAGCACGGCGTCGGGGGCCTGGGTCTTGTCCCCTGCTGGTGCTCCACCGCCTCGCTCCTGCGCCCCCCCGTGGCTCCTGCGCCCCCTCGGGCTTCTCCCCTTCTGCCTCCTCCTCCTCCTCCTCCTCCTCCTTCGCCTCCTCCTCCTCCTCAATTCCTTTTCGTTGTAAATAACTTGTCCCAGTCGCACCCCGAGGCCAGCTTTTAGGGCGGGCCGGGCGTTTCGCCTGAGACTTCCTCACCATTTGTGATTTCGGAGCTTAAGAATTGGCTTCAGTTTCACAGATGCAGGGCGGGCCGTTTTCAAAATGTGGCTCTCGCCTTAGCGCGGCGAGCATTCGTTGTACAAATGTAAGAATTTCATGGATTGAGGGCGGGTCGTTCTCAAAACGTGGCTCTCGCGTTAGCGTGGCGCTCTCTTCACGGATTGAAGGCGGGTCGTTTTCAACATGCAAGAGTTTCAAGGATTGAGGGCGGTTCCTTTTCAAAATGTGGCACTCGCTCTAGCGCGGCGCACATTCGTTTTAAACATTTGCAGAACTTTCACGGGTTCCCATAATCAACGTGTCAGAAATGGTGTCTCGAAAAGATTCAGGATTATGCGGGTGGAACAATTACATTGATTCGCTGTGTTGAAGTCCCATGAAAAGCGCTCTGGCACGATTCATGATTGTCAAGACACAACAGTCAGGTTGATCCGTGGCGTTGGAATCCCGAGAATAATGTTTTGGCATGCTTCAGGGTCTTCAAACGGTTGTCTTCCAAACAGGCAATTCCTTCAATGGAAATAAATCGTTGTAAGGGCCTATGAAGAGGATTACAACATCGTTGATGATTCTTGGGTTTACACTAGTCCTCCTCCTCTTCCTCCTCTTCCCTCCGCCTCCGTCTCCGCTTCCTCCTCCTCCTCCTCCTCCTCCTCCTCCTCCTCCTCCTCCTCCTCTCTCCCCACCTCGTTTGCGAGACGCCTCAATCGGGTGCGCGCAAACAAGGATGAGCGATCCATGGATTTGGCGCGCGGTCGCCAAATCTATGGATCTGGAGAGGTGCCCTCCCCAAAATGCTGCCCGTGCCGCCTCGCTCGGCGGCGGAAATCCACGATGTCCCATGGAAGCGGGACCCGTCGCTAATCCACGCCCCCTTGATCCATGTTCGCGATCGCCTGACTCAAGCCACACCAGGACAGGCCTGCATGCTCATACAAATTGGTGTCAAACATCCGCTCCTGCTCTCTTCGCCTGGCCCGCTCTGCTACAGACGATGCGCGGTAGATACGTCACGCCATCGTCCAATGCGATGGCCTCTGCGGTGAACAGCGACACGGGCTGCGATGGTCTCGTCCAATGCGATGGCCATCGTCCAATGCGCCGGTCTCTCCCCACCTGGCTTCCTCCCTCCCTCCCTCCCGTCATTCCTCCCTCCCTCCCTCTCCTCCCTCCCGTCCTCCCTCCCTCCCTCCCTCCCTCCCTCCTCCCCCCTCTTCCCATGCTCTCTCCTTTGTATCCCTCTTCTCCTTCTCCTGCCCCTGAATCCGCCGGCCCCCCCGAGGCCTGCCGCGGGGGCGAACGGCGTGCTGGACTCTCTGCTGTTCCTGGTCCTCTTTACAACAAGAGCTCGACCACAAGGACCCTTCCACAAGAAAGCCAACCCTGAGACCCCAAGACGTCCATTGACATTTTCTTGGTGTGGGAGCGTCACGCTTTCCATCGCAAAACCACCGGAATTCGAGAAATCCGGTGGTTCTTGGGTGTTTCAAGAAAGGGTGTTGTTGGGTGTTTCAAGAAATCCACCGCAAAATCATCGAAACCCTGGAGGCAAAAGAAGGTGTTTCTTAGCAGGGGCTTCCACTGTACAGGGTTCCAGTGGACCTTCGGCCCAGCCTGCCGGCCACCCGCAGGGCCCGAACGTGCCGAGAGCGTTTTTCTTCGTCCCGCCAAGACGGCTCCCAGATCCTCCAAGACGGCCTCCAGGATGGGCAACATGGCCCCAA